TTGGTAGCAGGCTCTTCATTCTCAACCTCAGTAGCTCTTACGAGGGGGAAAGACTTTTTCTTTGACTTATTCGGCATTTACATTGTGCATCGTTGGGATAAGGCCTAGTCAAACTTGACCTCTCCGACTCCTCATCCCAGGATGGAGAATTGAATTTTCTGGTACTTGACGAAGGTCACGATGCCCAGATTCACAAGACAGGGTTTTCCCAAAATCTCGTTAAAGGAAGATGGGTCACTAACTATAATGAACGTCTACTTTGAGACTACTGGTGGCGTTCTCACATAGAGTGTTATACTACCAATAGCAGTTAAGGTGTATCCCTTGAATCTAGTGAATACTTCTGCTCGATGTATTATTTTGTTTTCCAGGCCCATCTTCTGAATAATGGATAACTAAAGTAGATTTACTATGCTATCATTGTCCACCATCACTCTGTTGACTATAGTGTGTACCAGTTGAACGAACATTACCAGAGCATCGTCTTGTGGGAAGTCAACTCCCTCAGCATCCTGCTCGGTGAAACCAATGATTGGTCTAGGTTTAGCATCGCTATAGCCTGTTGGATCTTCCTCTTCTTGGAGTTGTTTATGGCCCCCAAGTATTTGGACTCGGCGAAGATGCAGTTGATTCTGATGGTCTTGGCAGACGACTCCTTGTCTCCGTCTGCATTTTTCTTAGGCTGCGCAACTGGCTTGTCCAAGTATCTATCACATTATCCTCTTTCACTAGCTTTTCTAGGTATTCCTTTCAGGTATAGCAAGTGTCAGTCGTGTGATCGAGACCTCATTAAAACCCGCAATACTTAGAGTTATCCAGCTTAAAGGTATCTCCTCTAGATTGTTTTGGCAGCTTGAACCAATGCCCAATCTTGAGGTAGCAGAGGATCTGGTTGATCGAGATCGAGAACTTAGTATAGTTCTTAGTGGCTTAACCTCATCTTGTCGGGGATTGGTCTCTGCATTTGGCCTCCTGCCTGCTTCGATCGTTGGATCACTTCTTATCTACTTTCTTCTAAGCTACCTCGAACTTCTTCTAAGGCTGCTCAAGTGCCTTGATTACTCGTCAGGCCTCATCCCAAAGCGCATGCTTATCTGCCAAAGATAATAAGTTTGCTGGAGTAAAGTTTTATTTCATGATCAATTCTTCAAAAAAGGGATGATCTGCTGGAAGTCCCTTTTGGAAGGCTGGGATGGCAATTGAGTCGTTGCAACTGACTATCTTCGCCTTTTTCACCTTGAATGTCATAACATAGTCGCTAAGTGACTCCTTTGGATTCTTCTTAATGTTGAAGAGACGATTAGACTTCTTCTTGATCGAACAGTATGATAAGTACTCCTTAGTGAAAACTACGGAAAACTCATCGAAACTCCGAATGGACTATTAAGGCGGGTATGGAAACAATCATGCGCATCGTCCTACAAAGTAGTGGCAAATATCTTGCATATTAAAGCATCGTTGGCCCTATAGAGGATCATCGCGTTGCGGTAATGCTTCAAGTGATTTTCTGGATCTCCATGTCCCTTGAATAGGGTGAAATGCGGCATATTGAATTTACACGGGGTTCCGTCTGCTCGATCTCGTCAGTGAAAGGTGATCTGCCTATGTACGCCACATCCTTGCGAATGGCTTCATCTGTGGTCTCAATGTGCTGGAATTTGAGAAATTGCTTCATTAGGAGCCTATCTACTTTTTCCTGAATTTGCCTCTGTCGGGGCAGTGGGGCTTCCAGCTGCCCCCGGTTATGACCTGTTGGTCTCGGTTGCTTTTACTTATGTTTGGCTCATCTATGTTGTGGCTATTGTGCATGTAGTATGTTCCTAGCAGATGAGCAGATTACTCGTAAGCTGCCAGTTGAACTCAAGCAGAATTGTGCAACTGCTTTTCCCCATCCGCCGTGCTACCTACTCTGATGCAAGGTGGATAATGCTCCTTGCGGGCTGAGCCACATATGAACATTTCACCTAGAAAGTTGTCCATGTTGATTATTGAAGTGTAGCCCCAACCGTAAATGTATGCTCGTCAAGGGGCCTAACCGAAAGTGCACGCTCCTTTGCGTGTTAAGACAAGAGTTTATGTTATCTTGGGGGCCCATGCAGGAGTGTACACTGCCAAAACGCTTGGTTCTTAGTTGGTTAAGGGGTTGCTTCCCGGCATGCCGTTTAAGAGAAACGTCATCGCCTGTCTTTGTCATGCTCCAAGACACCTCGTCTGGGGCATACTGCATCTTGGTGCACTGCAGGAGCTAATTCACCAAGGTAGTCTGCTGCACGAGGGCGCTTGTCAGTTCGGTGACCTGTTGGGATAGGTGTTGTTCGCTATGTGGAGTGGAAGAGCAGGACGGTAAACGTCTGCTTGAGCTGTGGAAGTGTAATGGACTCTAGGTGAAAAGCTTGAGCCAAGATGGGTTAGATCTGCAGTAATGTGGGATGAAAATAACCTTGGTTCAACTGTTAGCTTAAAGATTTGGATCTGCGTTGGTTGAACTGGCTTGGGACTATGCTGGACAGTCTGGAGGGCAGCAAAAACAACGAAAGCAAGTCGGGTGCATAGGTGTTAGGCCACCTCATTTAGCGTGGCTTGGGCTGCCTTAGTCTAGGCTACTCACATCTAAGTGAAGGTGGTAGGTGCTAAAGGTTACTGCCAGCTTCTTGGGTCTGTGCCTGCTAGCTTCTTGTGTTATGAGCTTCCTGCCCTAAGGTTTCCTCACGTTGAGTGAAGGCTGCCCTGTGGGCCACCATAGCGGCGGTTGCCGTTGCTGGCATAGCCACGGTACCTCGTGGTGGCAAAGGTGCATTTTTTACCGTGGTAAGCCTCGAGGAGCGATAGCATAGAGCCACGTCGCGATCTCCATCGGTTGGTCCATGTCCTTCAACGTAGGAGGTCCCATTGGTTGTGGTTTCTGAATTTTCTGCCATCGTAGTCATGGATCTACAAATAAAGGAAGTTGAAAGCGAGAGTCTTCTTTGAGGCTTCGGATCAGAGCTTTCAATGAAAACACTAATTTGTGGATGCAAATTTCCGCCTTTCCTTGATTGACGAATCTGCACTTGCAAAATAATAACACCTAAGATTAAGGCCAAAAGCCTCATGTGCCCACGATGAATTTGGGGTGGGGGGGCTTTTGGCGAAGAATCTCCGATGCCAAAGTTAGAATTCTGAAAAGAATGTGTTCGAGTGTTTGTGGAAAGCAAAAGCCTTTTTAAGGGTAGCTAAAGCTTACTGAATTTTGGAGATAAATGGAGTATTTATAGGAGAGGAGAGGAGAGGAGAGGAGAGGAGAGGAGCATGGGCCAACCCTCTAGGGTTTAGGGGTGGCTGACCCTAGGTGATATTTTGGGTGGAATATTCTAAGATATTTGTCAATAAATATCTTAGAAAAAATAGGTAGATATCCTAAATAAATGGAACTAGGATAACTTACTTGAAAAAGGTCTTCTCTGATTAGGAATGTACTTATGATAAGAATAAGGAATTATTCTATCATAAATACCTTTGACTTTTCCTATGGGCAGGGTGCCTTGAGCAATCGTTAATCTCTGTTTGCTCTACCTCAATTGTGCGTGGTGAATGAGGATGCTCTTCGCTCATTTAATAGGGGCAGTCTTGCCTTTCTGGGAAAATAATCCACATGTCAACTCCATGATTTTTGGGATTATTTTTGGCTCCATAGTAAATACACAGTAGTAGGATTCTCTTCCCTCTTATTTCTAATCTCTTCCCTCCCCTCCCCTCCTCTCACATTTTGTTTTTTGTCTTTGTTTCAATAAAAAAAATCAATATAAAATATTGATGTAGTTTAATTGTAATAGTTCAAGTATGAGAAAAGAGAATAAGAAAGAGATTGGGAGGGGAAAGATATTAAAAGAGGAGAGAATCCTCTTCCAAACACACATGCATGCACGGTTGAAATTGCAAGAGCCTATTGTTCGGCCCGTGATCTTACTCAATTACTGTTTGATTAATCATTATTAAAGGTATAAAGTAACCAATTAAAGGAATTGATGTCATTCTGACTAATTATCACCTAAATTAATTGACAAAAAGGTTCATGTGTGCATGTTATGATCTAATAATGTTGTTCTTAATTTGTCACACTACTTATAACATATCATATTGTCCAATTTATGCGACATGGTCAAATAAAGAGTCACTTTTACGTAAATGTATTTCTCCTTTGTAAGAAAACGTTTAGATTCAACTGTTAAATGTACATGACATATCTATAGTGAGTTTGATATTAAGTTACGTTGAAAATAATCAACCACTCGATGTACAAATATTCTAAAAACAACTTTTCTTACACACACATGAAATACAGCAATTTTTCTTCAAAATACATACTATTTTGTAATCCAAAAAACTAATGGTTAGATCTTGCATATAAAAAATTAATAGATTTTAACAATAATAATTAATCCAAAGATAAACACACACACACACAGAGATATATATAGTGGTTAAGGATCATGGAATGCAGTGGTAAAACAAAAAGCTCACCAAATTGTGGTTGCAAAAGCGATCTCATCTCATGATCCCTTACTTTGTCTGTTTTTGGGATCAGAGTATACGCAAAGTCAAAATTAAAGCATCCAAAGTGGGTCAGTGTCATTCTGCAATTGTACCTAACGAATTTTATATTTGACGGAAGAGAGAATTTACATATATTCATAAATAAAATTTTCATATTGTCAATTTAGGTTATTATGAAGTAATATTTTTTTTATGATATCAAAGCATATTATCTCGTGAGTGAAACCTAATGACTACATGTGCTTCACATCACCCATTGTACATGTTGTTTCTATGTTATGTTTGAAAATTTATCACATATCATGTTGAGAATGAATTTGAAATTGATAAAAAGAAAAGCATCAAATGAACTGTAAATTAGATTATTTTTTGTAATATTAAATAATTTTGTAGTAAAAAATCAACTTTCTTCACGACTTTTTAGGAGCTGCCCGATCTACTGCCCTGTTATAAAGGCTGGTGTTGGATTCGTAAACTTCTCAACCACCAAGGTGGAGAAATTAAAATTACGGAGCCAGCCACCACCCAGCAGAGTAGAAGAAGAATATCTTAAGATATAACATGGATGTTCGTTTCAGAAGACCTACCACCACCAGAGAATTGAGAGAAAACAGCAGCAGTAGCAGCACAGACGGAGCCAAAGTTATGCAGCAGCCAAGAGCCATAAAAAACCTTCAAGTTGTCTACTATCTCTCAAGAAATGGCCATCTCGAGCATCCCCATTACATGGAAATCACCCACTTCGCCAATCACCCGCTTCGTTTGAGAGGTTAAATTAAATAATCAATTTCTTTACCAGCTACAAATCTCTCTTCTTCGTTTTTTGTCTCTTATTTTCCTTCGTTATTGCTAATATATTTCCATGCGACTATGCAAATGTAGATGTAATGGATCGGCTGACTGCTCTTAGAGGCAAAGGCATGCCCGCACTGTACTCTTGGTCTTGCAAAAGGTGTGCACTAATTAACTGCGGTAGTAGCTACCACCTGGAGTATGTTCGTTATATTTTTATCTTATGAGGCTAATCTAATGTATTTGATCTTTTTAGGAGCTACAAAAATGGTTATGTGTGGAACGATTTAGCCGAAAACGATATAATTTATCCAGCAGAAGGAGCTGAGTATGTACTCAAGGGATCAGAGCTACTTGAAGGCTGCTCTGCAGGTCCCTCTCCGTCTGTTTCCGTTTAACTACCTACATTATTAACATTTAAAACAATTGTGCTCTTTTAGATAATGTACTAAAAGTTTTTTGATTCTTGTATTCAAACTAAAAGTTCCCTAATAATTCTTGTATGTAGAAAGATTAGATCAACTTCAAATGAGAAGCAACCAACAGATGATGCAGCAGCAAGACTCAAACTTTGGGTCCAAAAGGAGATCTCCACTCGCTCCGACTCGAAGCAGAGGACATGATCATCATCATCGAGAAGTAGACAAGTATCGGGAGGAGGACGGTCAAGACCAAGACTCTGAGGACGAACAAGAAGAACAAGAACTGGTGGACTATGAGGATGAGAAAACAAGCTACACCAGCTCCACCACCCCCCATTCTCGCTGCTCCAGAGGGGTCTCCACAGACGAACTCGAAGACCCTCCACAAACCCGCAAAAGCCCGACTGTGTCAACTCACCCCGAGTCATCACCGCCTCCTCCTCCAACTCCAACCCCATCAGTTAATAATATAGCATCAAATCAGCCCAGCCAGCGCACCAATCTGTCCACATGGTTCGAGGACGGCGACCCAGTTGTGGTTTCGGATTCCAAGTCCTCAGCACTGCAGAGCAAGAACTCTGTTTTGCTTCAGCTCATAGCTTGCGGGAGCTCAGCAGTAGCCAAGGCAAAAAATGCCCCATGTGTGAGTCTGAAGCAACGCACAACAGCGACAGATCATGTGAAGAAGAGCAGCGAGAGCTTTCGGAAAGAGGTTGTGTATAAGGCTGCAGTGAAGGTGGCGGTGGCCGCGGAGGAGGACATGATTAGATGCATGTCTGAGAATCCAAGGTTTGGGAATTTACAGGCAGAGGAGAAAGAGTATTTTAGTGGGAGTATTGTGGACGACATGAAAGACCAAGATCGAGTTTTGGCTGAACCTATGCCTGGGCTTAAAAGATCAAATTCCTACAACGAACAAAGGTAAGTGACAACGATTTTCATGCATATCGGTCAAGTGATTAATTAAATAATGTAGTCCCGAATTTGCATAATATATATATATATATATATAATTAGCACGTTCTCGATACCTTTAATGTGTTAACTAACTTTGGAGTTTGATTAATGGATTGACTAGGAGCACCAAGGCTGGGTTTGTTTCAGAAACTGTAGAGGAAGAGAAGAAAGAGAAAGCAGCGGTGAAAGGAAAGTGCATTCCTCGTAAACTATATTCTTCTGCTGCATCAAAACAAAGCAAAAAATGATTGTTAAGCCCTATAATTTGTATGGCCCAACAAATATGTAATTACCAGCACTGGTCAGGGGTTTTACTTTTACTTTCGCTTCCTATAGTTATGAAGAATTATGGCAACTGTTGGGTGGAAAGTAAAAGCTGTTGGGAAAAAGCTGTTGGGAAAGGTAAAATCTTTCCTTCCAATTAATTTGAAAACGACGGGTGCTGTGGTTCCCCCTGCGACTCTCCGTATCCTTGGGTTTGTTGCGGTACGTAATCAGAAAAAGAATTATGCATGCAACCGGATATATCATCCTCTTCCTATATAAAAATTAGTATAGAAAGAAGATATACTTGTTTCTCCTTTTCGGCCAAATGGTTGGCCGAGGAGGATATTTTTGCCCTTCTTGTGAATGTTGTGTAGATGTGCCACCACCAAGCCACAGATTGGGTTGGATACTCATCCTCAGGTATAGCAAAGTTAAGATCGCGATTCTTCTGGGTTATGAATGTAAGATCAATACATGCGGAACAAGTAAATCACGATACCAAATTAACCGCTAACCTTGTGATGCCATTACTGCAATGAACTAAGGGTTCTTCTACTCTCAACACAGACTGAATGCACTGCTACAACCAATGGGGCTTGATATCTTTTGTGCGTAATTAGTGTGAGAGCAGGGGACCCTATTATATCCTAAATGGTGGTGTTTGATAAGAATACTTCCCATCATGTAATCCTTATCAAACTGATAACCCTTATCACCACGAAACCATAATATTCATATTTGTATAGATATATCTACTCATATCAGAATTACTTTAGCTAAATATCAGTCTACATACATTCCTTGATAGCTTACAACTAGAGTCAATCATAATCTCATATGATCTCAATCCCTTATGCACGTGTTAAACAAATGAGCTTAAGCTATTCTCCTACTAGAGCCAACACTTGTTTATCACAGTACCACCTAAAAAGAAATCATACATGAATGGCCATGAGAATAAGATTAACAAAACCCCAATAACAACAAGTATCTGTCATAAGTTAGTATTCATGAAGAACTAAAGGGAAGTCATGCTCCAATATATAAACATTATCCCTAAAATTACTATCATGAAACCATCAAACACATGAAACTCCATCAAGACATGAAAAATAATACAAGATGCAAATACGAATGCTTCTGGAATACACCTGCATTATGATCCTCCTTCAAGACAAGTAAACTAGTCCACATTATTGTCTCGTACTGAGACCCTTAAGTTGCATTTAAGTTACAACAATTCAAACAAATTGTCATCCAAAATACACTTCATAATATATCTGTATCATAACTATTACACTGCAATTTCTGGGAAACCTTTGCAACTAGCAACATAATACTTTATTAGTTAAGATGATCTAAACATAAATACTTTAATGCATATTCCAAAAAGTACCTGAATCAACCAATGTCCAAGAACAAATATCTTAAACATGATCAAAGCTCCCACTGTTTTGCAGTACCAAAAGCTTCCAGCACTTCCATTTTCCTTATATGTTTCTTCAATACTGCCACTGGAATGGCCTTGTTCAACGGATCTGCTATCATAGAACCTGTCTCCAAATATTCAATTTTAACCAAACCATCCATCACCTTTTCACGAGCAACAAGAAACTTAATCTCCAAGTTCCTTGTAGCATTGGATCTCTTATTGTTCTCTGTGAAGAAAAATGGCTGCATTATTATCACAGTAAAGCTGAATGAGTCTTGAGATTGAGTCAACAATACAAAGACCAGTGATAAAATTCTTTAACCAATGTGCCTAATTCACAGTTTCACAGCAAGACAAGTACTCAACCACCATTGTTAAAGCATGCAACGATGTCTTGCTTGGCACTCTTCCAAGAGAGCTCCATTAGCCATCATAAACACATAGCCTGAAGTTGATTTCAAATCATATGGGCAATCAACGCAGTCTGCATCATTGTACCCTTCTAAGACCAAGTTTTAGTTTTAGTCTTCTTATAAACCAACATATGAGACTTAGTTTTCTACAGGTACCTTATAACTCTCTTCCCAGCATTCCAGTGTGATTTTCCTCCATTAGACTGAAATCTCCCTAAAACACTGATGGTAAAAGCTAGGTCTGGCCTAGTACAAACCTGAGCATTAATTAAGCTCCCTACTAATGATGCGTAAAGCTTATCCTTCATCGTTTCCTTTTCCAAATTATTTTCTGGGACATTGCTTCTTGCTTAGCTTATCACTCTTCGATATAGGCATTGATATAGGCACTTCAGTTGTGCCACATGCTGACATGTTGAATCTCTTTAAAACTTGTTCAGTGTAACTTCTTTGTGACAACCCTAACAATCCTTTTTTTTCTCTCTCTCTCTCTCTCTCTCTCTTAATCTTGATGCCCAGCACATAAGAGGGCACACCTAAATCTTTCATCTCCAAATCATCATTTAAGAAAGTCATTTTTAAACAAGTCAAAATGTGCCACTATCGCCACGATTACTCTGAATGCATCTTTCGTTGATACTGGACTGAAAGTTTCTTTATAATCGATACCTTCTCTTGAGTGAACTCCTTGGCCACCAATTTGGCCTTATGTCTCTACACAGTTCCCTTTGAGTCTCTCTTGGTTTTCAACACCAACTTACAACCTATCGGTTTCATGGCTTCTCTTGGTTCCGCTAGTTCCCGTACTCTGTTTTCTTCCATTGATGACATTTAAGACTCCACAGCTTCTAGCCATTTGCTTGCGTTTGGACTCGAGATGACTTTGTTTGAAAGTCCCAGGATCATCAAACTCTAAAATTAAAATCTGACTCTGCCAAATACTCAAAATCTGATGAGAATGTTGACTTTCTTACCTTATTTGATTTCCTCAAAAGCGGTGGAACATCACCGACTGCCAAGACTGGTCAATTTAGTCGGTCGTTGCTGCCATTGGCAGCTGCTTCCTCCACGTGTGCTTTCTGATTTCCTGCACGTTGTTCATCATTCAACAACACCCCAACTTCAGTGCCATGCTCCAGTCGGTGGTCATTGTCACTTGGAGCTGCCATCTCCACATACCCTGCATGATCGTTAGTTTGCTGCTCACTATGCAACAACACATCAATATTTCAATTGCCATGATGAATGACACAATCATCATTACAATTACCCTCACTTTGTTCCACTTGATTTGGAAATTCAATCATTGATGCTGCATTCGGTGATTATTCTACATTATTGCCCATTTCCCCATCTTCCTCAAATATGAATTTATTACTTCTAGTGCTTTCATGATTGATCATCTCTAATTCGATAAAAGCACTTGGTAGATTAATACTACAAATCATACTCTTTACCATGTCCATTAGGTAACTATTTCTTCTCTCAGTCACTTCGTTTTGCTCGGATGTACCAGGTTGGTATATTGAGCTACAATTTCATGTTCTTGAAAATAAAGCAAAGAGTCCATGGTGTCTACCAATTTGTATGTATCTTCCATAGTATAAATCTTGAAAACTTCTAAGGTTTTAATTTTTAGAAATCAAGTAAATGTAACAGTAGCGTGAAAAGTCATCTACGAAAGTGTTGATCCTAAAAATTACAAAGCCTACGTGGCGCGCAGGCCGAGTAACTAATAAGCTAACTACGTCCTTCGGTTGAATGCGGGGTGTGCCAACTTGTCGGCCGAGCTCAGCCAAGGAGTAAAATTTGTTGATGTTGCGTTGAGCACTTGCTAACTTCTTTATCTTGCGACTGTGGTCGAGGAAGGAACAAATCTTGGCCTTTGGATTCTCAAGCCTGAAGAAAAAGCTGCTAGTTCTGCGAAGTTCATGAATCGTCGGCGTCAGATTCGGTCACGGTGATTATATTCATGAGAGTATAAGCACGTCGAATCGATACCAGACTATATGGACACAAGTATTCAAAGGTGATTTATGTCTTGATGGTGAATGTGGTTCGGCCGTCAGAATGCCGAACTTTGAAACTCACTTATGAGTATCCAATCATAAAATCACTCGGCGTTCAATGTGCCGAGTGTCGTAACTCGTAACCCCTTACTTCGCCGAGAAGGCTAATAAGATGACCTCTGTCAATAAGGATTCGTAAACCCTTCTCGACCGAGACTTGGATAGGTAACTAGTCGGCCTCGACGCAGTGCTGTTTATCCAAACTGAAGGTGCTCCTCGGCCAGCTGATTCTACGGCAACAGTGCTGTTTATCCAAACTGAAGGTGTTCGTTGGTTGCCTTCACAATGCTGTTTATCCAAATTGAAGATGTGTCGACGGGAAAAAGAAAATAAAAAATCTCAAGATGTTTGAGAGGTTTTGCGCATGGCACTTGTGTGTTGAATTGGAGGTCATTTTTGTCATTGCCACTGCCTCTATTTATAGATTTTGTAATGCTCAGCCACTGAAATAAAGTATTCTAGTTCCATTCTAACTCTCAGCATCCATATATTGTGATAAAGAACCTTTTTGATAATATCCCTCAAAGTCAAGATTCCTCGAGTCAATGTCGCATGCTCCTTTCATCTTTGCAGACACCAATCTAATCCAAAGATTGGTTATAATATTTAAATGCAGTGGATCTTTGTCATCCAAATTCCATGTACCAATGACATTCCAGTTTGCATCATTATCTTGACTTCAACATTATCCCAAAACCATGCATCTTGACTATTCAAACCTCATCTTAATGCACCATCACCATGCTACTGCTCAATCTGATAATAAGAGTCCCAAGTCCATTTGAATTGTACTGCTTGCTCGGAAACTTACTTTGCATCTTATTATCCCGTATAAGAAAATATCAAGATAATTTGTTAAACGATAATTATTATGATAAAAATCATAATATTATCTTTCAATAATAACAAAATTATCTTCACTTTTCATTCGACGGTTGAGAGCTATGCTCACTCAATGGCCTTGATTGCATGGGCCGATGGTGTAAATTTGGGTCTAAACATTGCCCCCCAATTTCCTTGAACTTCGACTTGTAGGCCGAATGGTTAAGGAAATTAGCATAGTCGAAGAACTCTCGTATCGCTGATAATGAAACTTTTTACTCGGCAACAACATCTCTGTACTGCCAACGCTATGGTCTTCCTCGACTGCCACAATTCTATACAAGGTTCGGCCACTTTAATAAATAACCTCTTAGACCATCTCGAAAAAATTTGGACCGAGGAAAACCGAACGCTGTCGAGGATCGAGATATATAGGTAACCTAATTACCTAATACAATTTGTCGTCAT